AAAAATAATTAAATAATTCTTAAAAAAAAAAAAAAAAAAGAAAGGAATAAAAAATGAGATTGGCCTTTGGGTCCAGGTCCCCCTTGGTCTCAGACCAGTGTCCTAATCACTCATTGGTTAGCTGTGAAATGTAGTTTGTGAAAACATAACATGTCTAGCTTATGTTACAGGCTTAAGGCTTAACGTCACTTTTGTCTCATATCCCCTAGTGAACTTTTCCTGTTCTAGTTATTTCATTAATTTAAGCAGCATCCTCCATGCCTGTACTGTCCTGGGCCTTCTGCTGACTGCTGTAGATAGTGGGAACAAACTACCAATCAAGGCTGGAACTTCTAGTCTTGAGGAACAGAGAGCAAGCCAGTAGTCCCACAAATAAAATATTGCTCTTACAGGTCTCAGTAAGTCTTACGAAAGAAACTAAGGTGCTGTGACAGAAAAATAGTGGAGCCTCTCAAGTGGGACTTGTCGTTCACATGAATCCAGGAATCTTCTCAGTTATCTTGGTTCCCCTTACTCCATGCATTTTGTCCATCCCCGAGTCCCAGCAGTTCTGCGTCCCAAATAATCTCCTGAACTCACCTCCTTGCATTCAGTATCAAGGGAGCTGTGTGTGTGCTGAAGGAGTTGAGGGAAACAAGAGCTCAGTGGAGGCTCAGAGGCCAGTGAGAGCATCATACAGGTGACAAACTGGAAGTGTCAGAAATGAGAGTGAGAGGATCAGCAGTTAGCGTAATGGCTATGTTGCTGGACTCCCACGTAGTCGACCGCGGTTCGAGTCCTGGATCCAGGGGCTTAAACTCAAGCCGGGTGCATGTGCGTGCATGCCCAAGATCCCAAGAGGAGAATGGAGGAGAAGGGATTGTGGCGTGGCCATCCCCCCGGGGGGGTGATTTCTCGCTTTCTGTCTCTGTCTCTGTCCGGCGAGCGCATGCGCCCTATAGCAAAAACCTCTCCCCCCCAAAAGAAAAAGAAATGAGAGTGAGTAGGGGGAGATGAGGTCTGAAAGATTAGGAGGTAGAACCAGCTCCAGTGCAGATCTCACTGGAGAGTTTGACAGAGCGTCAATGGACCAGGGCTCCACATAGACCTGGGTACCCAGGCTCAAGCAAATGGTGCCTCTTCTGTCCTGCCAACCTCAGGCTGTGGAAGCGGCCCAGCTGGCGGAGGACCTCAAAGTGCAGCTGGAACATGTGCAGACTCGGCTGCGAGAGATCCAGCCTTGCCTGGCAGAGAGCCGGGCTGCTCGAGAGAAAGAGAGCTTCAACCTCAAGAGGGCTCAGGTGTGTGTGGGGGGAGCGTAGGAGGGGTAGGCAGGGTGGTCCAGGGTCACCAATGTGGCCTGGGGGCAAGCAGTTCAGGGTGAGGACCTTGCATTCAGCCTTGCCTCTTTCCTGCCCCAGGAGGACATCTCACGGCTACGGCGCAAGCTGGAAAAGCAGAGGAAAGTGGAGGTTTATGCAGATGCAGATGAAATCCTCCAGGAGGAGATCAAGGAGTACAAGGTGGGGCCATGGGGCTGAATTGTGCCTCATCCACTCACAAATTTTAGATGAGGGTTTCGTCAGAATTGTAGTGTGGGTAGTGGTCTAGCGATCCTGGAAATAAGGCAGGACAGCAAAAAGTGCTCAGAACACTGGTTGTAGTCAGACAACTGGCCTTTTGAATGCTCTAAGGGAAGAGTAATACAGGGAGGTTGCTGAGGCAGGGGGCTGGGTTGAGATTTCTTTCTTTAGAGGTTTTTGCCTTAGGACACATGCACTCGCTGAAGAGAGAAACAGATACAGTGAAAGGGAAAGAAATCACCTCCCAGGGGGGATGGGCATGCCACAGTCCCTTCACTATTCTCCTCCCAAGATCGTGGGCATTTCTAGCAGGCCAGAGGAGGGATGTTGGGGAGTACAGAGTTGGAGGCAGTTCCTGTCTGGAATTGGAGATAGGACTCCTGGTAGCAGATAGGCAGTCTTAGGCTAAGAGAGTACCCACCCACAGGGCCGACAGGTGGAATGGTGGTTAAGGTGCTGGACTTCATGTGGCCAATCACAGTCTGAGTCCTCGACCTGGTGGCTTGCCCATGCAAGCCCAGGAGGAGAATGGAGGAGACGGGATTGCGGCATGGCCATCTCCCCTGGGAGGTGATTTCTTACTTTCCTTCTCTCTGTCTCTGTCTCTCTCCAATGAGTACATTCACCATACAGCAAATCGGTTTTTTTGTTTTGTTTTTTAAAAATGCACCCACAGCAGAGTCTCTAGGCAGCACCAAGTCTGGGCCCAGTTGAGTGAAATAGTAGATTTTTTTATTTTTAAATTTACTAGCAGGCATGTGCACTTGCTACAGAGAATGAGGAAGAGGGAAATCAAGAAAGCATCCCACATGGAGTATGTGACCATAAGCAGTCCCCTTCTCCATCTCCCTCCTTTTGGGATTTTGGACATGCATGCACATGGACCTGGCATGTTTTTCAAGCTGCTGAGTCTGGGGCTCAAATTGCATGATCAGATAGCCGCCTTAACTACCAAGCCATGGACTGCTCTGAGTAGTAGATTTTTAGTGGCATTACCCTGCCCAGCTGTGATTTAGCAGGTGTAGGTGAAGAGAAAGGAGACAAGATTAGAGTTTTGTCAGAGAAGGCCAATAGGGCAAGAGATGAAGTCCTTGTCTTTGTGAAGGAACATACGGCTATTACTGCCCAGGTTAGAATCCAGACTCTACTGCTTTCTAGTTTTGAGACCTTGGTCTCTGAACCTATTTCCTCATTGCTCATACCCATCTCCTGAGGTTATGGTCAGAATTAGATGCAGTTGTGCAGTGGGCTGGATCATGTGCCATCAGTCTGGGGTATGAGTGCTATCATAATTGTTCTATGCTCATGCCTTTGCTTGGCCTAGGCACGGTTGACCTGCCCCTGTTGTAACACCCGCAAGAAGGATGCAGTCCTCACGAAGTGCTTCCACGTTTTCTGCTTCGAGTGTGTGCGGGGCCGTTACGAGGCCCGCCAGAGGAAGTGCCCCAAGTGCAATGCAGCCTTCGGTGCCCACGACTTCCACCGTGTCTACATCAGCTGAACCTACGGCTCAGGGGACTTTGGAATGCCCATGGACCCTGGGGGCTTTGCCTCCAGCCCCTCCCCACTCTAGGTCAAATCACCTCTCTTTCCACTATGGACCCCATGGGCCCAGCCCCTGCCCACCCAGTTAAGTTTGGGGGCCCTGGTGTATGCTAGTGGGAGTGGGAACAACCAAGCTCAATTCCATCTTTTCCCAAATGTCAGAGCTGCAGTCTGAGGACACCCATCCTCCAGGAAAGGTCCACCCTAAGGGGTCCAGAGCACTCAGCTGAGCTGCTGGGAATCTGGCCCTTCTCCAGCTGTCATCACAAACCTGTCCTAGCCCTAATGGGGAATTTCTCCAGTCTGTGACCTTGCACCCAAGAGGAGTCTCTGCCTACACACCCACAAGGGAGTACTGTGTGGGGACCAGGTCTTTAGCCCCTTGTTTGAGATAGCCCTGCAGCCCAGGGAGACTAGGGCAGGGTTTTGTCCTGAGTTTCCTGGACACTCTGGTCTGCCCCTTGGGCTAAGGGCTGAAGGACGAACCTCCTTTGGGAGCACTACTTGCTAACACGGGGAAGCTCTACCGGTGCTGTAGTCACCGCCCCCATCTTAGGAGTGCTGAACAAAGGAAGATTGATCTCTGTTCCAATCAGGCTCCTTCCCCCCAATCTCTTGTTTGTCTCCCAAGTCCACTTACCCATACCTCAGGCATCCCAAGACTTCAAAGGGTCCCTGGTCCTAACCCTGCTTTCATCTTAGTGGCCTTAACTGCAGTGGAGGTGGAACTTCCCAGGAGGGGAGGGACTGGGCCAACTTCAATCATTCCAGGTAGAACTTCACCCAACACCCATGACAGCCTGTACCCACGATGCTTCCTTCCTGTGTTGCCTGCTCAAGCAGACTGGACTGTGGAGGCAGCACTGGGAGGGGCCTATGGGTGGAACTGCTGACAGGTGTGGGGGGCCTATTTGAACCCACAGCCTCTGCTCTAGAGTTGTCTTGTATAGGCTGTTAGTTGTGAATAAACGTCCAACCCCCAGCCTCTGCTCAAAGCAGCCAGGCCTCATACCCAAGCTTAGTCCCCAGTTTTCAGCTTCTTTGCCAGTCCTGCTCTTTCCTAGCTTGGTGTGAACCTAGGAAGGAGTCTGCACCAACTTGAGACCCCACTCCTGCCAATCCCAACAGTCGAGTTAGGCTTAGATCTACTGGCCAGTCAGGATAACAGTGGCCTCATAGAGGCTGATGTTCTGGAGCCATCATATCCTACAGGGTGAGGCTGGCCGCCTCCGTTGGCCAGCTGACCACGCCCCTGGCAGTCATCGGCCACTCAAATACTGGGGAAACCGCGCTGCATCCTGGGAAATGTAGTCTCTTATTGGCCCACGGCGAGGCTTCGGGCTGGGGGAAGAAGTGGTTCTGCTGTGGTGCTCCAAGTCAGGCCTGAACCCAGTTCTGTGGGCCCTTCCTCAACGGTTTCACCCGCCCCTACCCCCAGGACGGACAGACCGGGACACCTGGATGGATGGGTGGCTTCCTTCATTGCAGTTTGCTGGGACCTCAGACCATGCTCCACGTGCTGAGCGGCACCTCTCTGCGTCAGCGCGCTGTATGCCCCTCGCACGGAGCCTTCACCGCGGTCTTGCTGGGACTGGCGCAATGGCTGGTGCTGACCGGGGTTGGCGCTGGAACGGTTGGGCCCACGGCCAGGGCAGTGGCCGCGGGTTTGTCATCGGTCATGCCTTCTTGGGGTCCCGTGGCCTTATCAGCTGCCATGCCTTCGTGGGGGCTTGTGGCCTTGCCCGCTGTCGGGGCCCACCTGGCGCCCAGGTTTTCACAGTGGTTGGACCAGGTCGGACTAGAGACGGAAACACGGGCTATGGTGAACTCGGAGGCGGGGCTGGCGGCGGTGGGCACGCTCGCAG